CTGTTTAGGGAAGACTAAATTTGAGCTTCTAGACTGTCCATGCTCAAGCACGGTTTTAGCATATTAGCAGTCCCACTTTCCTGAAGGATACTACTTGTAGTCTTAAATCTGTTAAAAATTAACTATGTGCAGGCTTTATTTCAAACAAATCTGAATGTGTTTGCAGGATGAGTTTTAATGTGCCGGGTAGATGATCCACTTATTTTCTCTAAATTTGTTCCTGTAATTTGATTCCAAAATAACAGCACTGGTAGCCAATTTGCATGCGTGCACTTAAAGCAGTACTTTATGGAAGGACTTTTTTGTTGTTTTTCAGGTTGAATCATCATTTTGGGAATTTCAAGGCAGCCTCTGTATTTTGCTGTATTTACACAGTTTATACAACTGCCAAATAATGTCACATCTCAAACAGATTATATATTTCACCCAGATCAGGGTGAAATCCCACTAAAAAAAATGACCTTATATGAGTGGTTTCATCGAAGTTTAAGCTGGACAACTGGCATGAGCAGCAGCTTACAGGGCAGAGCCAATAACGTCTGGAAGAGGAGGAAGCTGCACGCACTAAAATTTAAATCTAACTCATTTATTTCTGAGTGTACTGAATTTTTATAGTTGTTTTGTATCATTAAATTCTGAATTAGATCCTTAGTGTGATTGGTTTGAAGAGAAATGAGCTGTCACTGTTGAAAGAGTTTTTCGTTTTTATTTGAAAGATGTGCTTTGTCAGGATTCCCATCCTTAGGGCCCAATCAAATCCACATGTGTTTGGGGCCGGAGCCATGGTTATATCATCACTTAGAGTGAATTAAAAAAATATATAAATTTACCTGTACTAATCTTTTTTTTTGACGTCATTAAGCTATATTTTACATTCTCCAAATGCAAACATGTAAGGCCAAATCTTGAAGAATCCAGTCCATATTTAGCAACCAAAACAACAAAGAATCAGAGCTGACTAGGAACTGGAGATAACACTTAAAAATAATTAAATGATCTGAGAAATAGAAATCAGTGCAACATGTATCAGCTGAAAATCCATTTGGACTGGTAAAGAGAAAAAAAAAAAGGGTAAAATGTTTAACAGTGAATATTGTTAACAGCTGGTCCCTCATTAAATTACTCATCTAATTCCAAATCATCTTTACATGCAGTATTTCATTTGCTAGCCACAGAACAAGGGAAAATTCAAATGATTTTTAGCCAGTTCAAGAAGCTGTCCTTCCGATGCATGGACTGCTATCCATAAAGAAGCAAGATTCTACTCACTTCTTCCTAATTTGAATTATTTAAAATAAATAAATCAGCTTACATATTTCTCACTGTGTTTTCCCAGCAAGGGAAAGCAATAGCTGGATGTCTTGTGACATAGGGACTCTTAATATTATATTTTGTGAATTCAAAAGGGGAGCAGGCTGGTAAGTCTGAAAGTTGTTACCATCTCTGAATGTGTGACCCGTTGGTGGTCTGGTGTCTCCAACGAGAAAGCCTCCAAATAAAAAATGGCAAATGTGGCCCCAGCCACAGGCTGATGGATGACTCTCTGATCTGGGGACTGTCACTCTGAGATGCCTCCGAGTGAACTGGAGGCACTTTTCTTTCACTGAGCAGCGTATGGTGTGTCAAAGACTCAACTCAAGGCTATTGCGGTATTTTTTACATACACCAAACTCACTCGACAGTGGAGGGGGGGAACATGGAGTGCAACTGCAGTTCTTCCTCATGCTCAGGCAATTAATAAAATAATGCAACCCATACATGCAAATATCCAGTTGGTTTTTTTTTAATGCACACGTCAGGCCACATGCTTTACTTGTGATTCATACAGCTTATTCCTTGCCCTAAACCCTGTTCTTGCCTATACAAGACTTAGACATGGAGAAAAAATCTGGGTAACATGGAGATAAAATCTGGATATGAATACTCCTCTTCATGGGTTTATGCAGCGGTAAAAATACTGCTTTCACTGTGAAATTCACAAGTGAATCCCAATTTCAGCTGATTTCTACAATGCCAGAATATTTGCCAGACTTCTCACATTATGAGAGATCCATTACTCCCTACTTCTGCTACTCTTAAGATTTCATCACTTCTGGTTTTAAAAAGCCTTACTTTAACCTTGCCTGAAAGACCCTTCTACAGAATCATGACCTATTTATTTTTATATTAAAGAGAGAAATCTATCTAAAAACCCAGTGTGGAAAAACTATCCTGTATCACTTAAACTAAAATTTCTCCCAGAGCTGGGTAAGTTCTGACATTATCAATAATGCTGTTGCATAAGGACAGCTATAAACAGCAGTTACATTACACATTGACACTAGTGCATTAGAAACATAAGCAGGAGTGAAAAGTCAGTGTTTGGAAATAGTCCTTCTTTCCACATTAATACTCTAGATATGATGAAAATCCTACAGAAAGCAATGGTTAGGCTTCTTTGTATCTGATTAAAATTCTAACCATAAGATATGCACTGACTATTCATGTAGATCTTCCAAATCTAAAATTTTGCAAGCTTGCATGTCTTTTATTCCACCAGACTGTGGGGCTACGTGGGTATGGGAGGTGCTGGACACACACAGTAGCTTGCAATGTCAGGGCACAGAACGACAGGCTATGAGAAACAAGCCCTGATCCTGTTCCTTTTCAAGCCGGGAAGTGTTTACTGAGATTAATGCTGTAGGATCAATGCAAGCATGTTTAATTTGATATAAATGTTTTGGAAAAGAAATGGGAAGGGAGAACAAAGATATGCTGGCAGTAAAAAAAACTGTATAGAAGGGAGTTTGAAAGAACCACAGAAGAAAAATTATGTGCCTGAATAAATATTATGCTCTTGTATATAAATTCAGATAACCTGTTTTGATAATGATATTCAATACTTGTTGGCAGTTCTATTTAAGGGGTTTCTTTGTACAGTTTTAATTTAATGGTCAAGACTTTCATCCTTAACAGGTGCCTATAAGCTAAAATATTGCAGATAATGCCAAATTCAGCAAGGAAAAAAATATCAAGTCTCTGATTAATACTAAGCCCTGATTCCGCTTAATTTTGCCACAGTATGAAGCTTCAGTGGTGGCACGTACTTTGTAAGAGAGCCCTCAGTGATGCCACCACAGCCAGCTGTTGCGTGCTCAGTGGACACGCTGCTTGCCTGCAGGAGCCCACGCTTGGCATGGGACGGTACGGGGGTTCCCCTGGAGAACCCCAGACCCCCAGACGTGCTCAGTCATCGAAGAGCTCACTGGAGGGCACAGGAACCCACAGGTGCACGAATGGGCTGGGGCACTTGATGTATAGTCCAGACATATCCATCTACCTCTGTCATGTGATGTATCTGACTGAAACGGGGCAGAAAAGAGTCCTAAAGAGCTTAGAAGGCTACCAAGGACAATGCAGATGTCAAACGCAGGCTGCAAGGATGTCTGGACTCGGCAGTGCTTACGGGAGAAGCTGGGGTGCACTGGGGACGTAGCCACTACAAACGGTGGCATTAGTGACAACAGCGAAGGGTCTTACGAAATTATATCTGATTTCACATTTTTGTAACTCAAATCAATAGTAGGGGCTTGTATCATCTTTTGAGATTGCAACAAAGTGTTTTCCAAAGATAAGCAAATGAATTTAACTTTCATCATCGCTGGGAATGAAAGGCCATCTGGTTTTTGTTTATAACTAATCAAAGTAGTTATTACTACTAAAAAGTGATGCTACCAAAATCTTTGATATTTTAACATAATTTTAAGCCTCCATGAGTTTCATCTTTGAACAGCCCTAACAAAAGAGTAAAAACTGTTACATCTTTTTATTTTCATATATTATATATAGTGTATATATATAACATATGTAAATAACAGTGAGTTAACAGATTGTAGTATTCCTTACGCACCCTGTTATGTGCAGCTGCCATCACAAAGAGCCCATTACATACACTTCTTTAGCACACGTTTGTGGAAAAAAATCTCCTTGCAAGACTTCATGGACATACCCCATCTCAGAACTGCTGCTCCAATGTAAGTGGCTCTTCTATATGCAAAGTCCAAGGAGTGGACTTTTGTCTGTGGCACGAATTTTTGTTTGATGATCAGCCCTCATTGCTGATCATCAACCTTTTGATCACTACACAACTGAAACCTTTTGTTTTCTTGGGGGAGCTGGAAGTCATTAGGAACTAAATGTACCATAATCTTGGTGTTAGAGCTTTGCCTGAAGCAACATGGGACTGCTTCCAGAAGCGTTTCTTTTAAGACCATATGCCTTTTCTCCATTCTGTCCCCAGCTTTCATGTCTAATAGGCTGACCTCCTTACAAAATGGCCCAGACCTCTGTTCCTCTTCTGTTCATGGCAAAAGGTAAGTACCCTCACAAGGCTAGTAGTCATAAAAAGTTTACTCCATCATTCTGGCTCCAAAAAAGAGAGAATGTTTACTGGAAAGTTTTGGGAGAATTCATTCTGGTAGCCGTGGTGAAAAATACACACCCAAGTAGCATCTTCTGAATGGGCTTGAGAAATACTGTTTGTAATTAGGATCATGGATTGTTACAAATTGGCCGAGAATCACTGGAAATGTGAAACATAACAGTAAATTGTTAGAAAAGGTTTTGGTGATAAGGACTATACTGTATTTCCACTAACTACCTCCTCTACAGAAGATCATGCTAAATAGAAAACTCATTTCCAAGGGCAGAAGAAGCCCTATTGCTAGATTCTATAGCAATTGGAGCTCACTTACAGCAACCTTATAGTACTTTATATAAACTGAGAAGCTTGTATCAAATTCAGGCTTCCATTTAAAACAGATATTGCAGATATTAGGCTTCAATTAAAGAAGAAAAATAACCTTCAGTGCTTGTTTTTTTAAAGGCAAAGTTTAAAAAAAAAATCACCAAACTAGGTGAAAATTATTAAATTTCTCCAAAAAATTAAGATGAGCTTTCTTCTATTTCTTGAGACAGCACAGTTTGTGATTCACAGGGTAACTGGTATCAAACACAAGTTTATGAAAGCTCTTATAAGCAATTTTATTCCTAACCATAATGGCAGACATTTACAAAATCAGAAGAATTTATCATTTCAGTTCACCTTAAAAAATAACTTATAAAGCAGTGATATATGCAACATAAAACAGTTCAGGAGGGGAGAGGGAAAGTAAATTTTAATAATTAAAATGTAAACGTGGAAAAAAAAAAATGGAATAGAAGTCCCTACTTTTCATTTCTACTTAAGATGTCATGTCATAATACTTTACAATGTCCTGTGGGTCTATATATGTATGTGTGTATTTCTATAGCACACACACATACATATACATTAACCCACACATGTACATACACAGATAATTGTTTGCAGTTCCATCTTGGGCAGTTCTGTTACGCCACTCTTTACAGTTGCCTCAATCATGTTTGGGACCCACTGTCTTGACAGAACGGGGGAGATGGCAGAAAATAAAAAGGTGGGTCTGATTGTGTCTGAGATCCTTTTGTTAGACTGTACACTGGGATGAATAATTTTCTTCTGCAGTAGCTCTCTGAAGAGGGCCAACTCACTGTGGTCTTCATGGCGAGACTTGTTAACGGATCACACACTCATTGTCATGCTAGGGGAGTACTGAAAAAAGAGGAATCCACATTTTAACAACCATTTCCCCCCCAGGTAACTAAAACCACTTCTGGACCACAACAATGAGTTCAAATGTCAAAATGCTCTCTGAACTTCCTCCTAAATTTGTACTGTAGCCTGTGCTAAGGCTGTAGTTCAATTTGTAGTATCATAACTTCTGTTATGCTTCTGTCATTACCCAAAAATACAGCTATTGCTGATAAAGCCAACTGCCTTGAAGATTGTTTTGGTGTTACCTGGGTGGTGTGATGAACCGATACTTCACTGATGCCTTCCACACTTCTCCCTGGTCAATGTTGGCTATTGGGGGGATTTAACTAGGCAGATGGCAAGTTTCAAGTAGACCAGCTGCATTCATGGTTAGCTGAACCACATAAATATTTTTGAGATCCTTTTATGACTTTATGGGAAGGAATGAGTAAAGATACGTCTGACTGGAATTCAACTAGGCTTTTGGTGTCAATTATTCTGTATTATCAATTTTAGGAGGCAAGCTGAATCAAGGATCAGTGGTCATTCTCTTTTACGTGAACCAAAAATTCAACCACCACATTACGTTATTATTGTAACACAAATTGAACTGCATCCCTTATACAAGCTACAGTTGCCCTCAAGTTGGCAGTTCTTCATCACAATAATCAATGGGACACCACAATGCCCAAAAGAAGTGCACATCTATATGCCTAATTCGTTTTCAAATTGAAAATTGTGGACTGCAGAAACACTTCCTTTGGCCTAAAATCTTCTAAGTAGAGAAAAAAGTTCAAATGCAAGAAGTAATAGCATTATGAAAACTGATACAAGAAACAGAAAGATAAATTTGCCTCTGCAAAAACAGATATGCAATAAAATCCTGCCAAAGCTAGACTTTCAAGCTGGCCGCTTCCAATTGTCCAAAAATATGAGAAAAAGTATTTTGGAGGGGTCTTTTCTGTCATGTAAACTGTACAGAATGGACTACTTGGGTAAAGTCTGTTTTGTCCCAGGTCTCTGATGGTTTCCCTGTCCCATCAATGGTTTCCCTGTCCCATCACGTGCTGAGCACCCCCACAGCGGGCCAGCAGAGCTAGTAAGAACACGCTTATCTTTAGCCAATCTCAAAGACCAGCTCAAATGCTTAAAGCGAAACATCTGTTCAAGTGATCTCCAGTTATCTGGGCCAAAGTACCTGGGTAATCACTTTGGACAAGGAATCTAAAGGTGACCTAAAGGCATTTGTGATTTTTAACTTATTATTAGCCAAGCAACGTTCCCCACGCCCAACCGAAACTGCTGGTGAACTGAACAGAAAATTTGCCTGAGAAGGGACTTCTTAGTAAGACCTACCCTAGCCAAGTAATGAAATATGAATCAGAAAGCAAGACAGTTCCCAAAGACTACAATATGACTTGTGGCACATATCATGCATGCCTTGTAGGCATACATCTCATGTAAAACCTTGAGGAAACTGGGTCCCAGGTTCTGCCAGGTAGGAAAACAACATCTAGGAGCACCTAGAATCCAGTAAATGTCAGAGAAAACTGATTTTCTTTTGAATACAGCTGATGTCCTTCTTTTCATTACTTTACTTGGTGAACCAGCCTGCCTGCTGATCCGACCGCCTGCCCTCAGCACAAACAGCACGTACCAAATGGAGAGTCAGGGATTACCATGACCAAGGATCACGTTTAATGGAGGTTCTGTGGTTACTGTTTTTTTGGCAGATATTGAAACATCAGTCTTTTTGGGTTGTACAAACCAATTTTCTCCAATACGCCACACAATCTGAACATGTGCCCTCTTTATGAAGACACCAACAGCTAACATGCAAAAACTCTTCTGTTTCACTAGTTAAAGGAGCGAACCCCAAAACCCCCAAAATCTGATTCCCATGAAATTTGCCATGCAATTTGACTGTTTTGTGATCTAACAGAAACCTTTTACTCGTCATAATTTCTGAGCTGAAGTTCACCACTGGCATAGTTAACGAACTTGCACTCACTTCTGGCAGCAGTGATTTCCAATAAGAACAGAAGTGTTGAAGTCACTCAGCACTTCTGAAAAATTAGGCCACTCCTATTTAGGAACCTAAACGTGGATTTAGAAACCCAGCTTCAGGCACGTGAGTATGAAGATACTGTAGTCTTACTTTGTAATGTATTTTACACCATGTTTTGCTGCCTCAAGCATGTCTCCATTTTTAAAAAGCACCATTTGTCCCAGAATGAACACTAGAGGGAACCTTTGCTTTTTCCAGCTCTAACAGCACACTGCATCTTTCCAACGTGAGATCTACTGGTTTTCTAATTACACACTCCAGTGTGAATCCAGTTCTAAAAGACATTCCCTGCAAGACACATTGTTTAGGAGTCAAAGGTTGGGCATCCACACATTGAAAGCACTCAAATGGAAGGATCTGTCAACTACATGTATTTAGGTTGCTGGGATGTTGCCTGACAAATGCCTGTTGTGCATTACTGAATACGTGCGGTGTAATTATTACTGTGCGAGAGATCTAACTTGCATTGATAACTGACCTCTTAATCTAGAAAAAGTTTCTGCAGTAAATCTATACCTTCCACATTTTCCAGTTTCAACTCAACTTCTAGCTGTATTTTGCACAAATTTTTGTTGAATCAATACTATAATTTTAGAAGCTAGTAAAAAACACGCAAGGCACAGTACTGCATTACAAGTACACTGCAAAACTGTTTGCTCTTGCTGTTATTTTTATTTTTCTAAAGAAAATGCCAGAGATGAAGGTTCACAAAGTAAAAAAAACACCCAAACAACTAAGTAAAAAAATACTTACGCTCTCACTCTGAAAAGGGTTTAGGAAGTTTCCCCCCATCTCGCCGTCATCCCTGGGAGTGCCAGGCTGATTACTCATGCTCATATTACTGGGAGAGTTCTGTTAAATAAGATTTTAAAATACAGATTAAGTGTGGAAGATTTCAGTCCATTTCCCAGCTTCACCAAGTGTGCTAACAGCACGCTTGACACTACACCGTAGTACACAAAGATGCACTATGCAATGCACTGGGATTTTCAAAGATGAAAAACAAGCCTCTGCAGGGTTCTGCATGATTCAGTCACTAATTTTAGCTTGTAAAGTAATGTTTTCTTCCCCAAAGCAAGAATTATTTATCTGTAAAATTCCTGTTTTCAGGTTATAGCCAGCGTCTTCTGCTGAAGTCGGGAAGAGTTATAAATGGCTGCAGCAGGTATGAGAGGAAGCTCTGTCACTACATTAAATCATATGGTCAAATTCAGTGAAGTCTATGAGTGTGTGCCTTGACATATGTGGCTTATGGATATGTACTTAAAGGTAGACATACAGATGGATATAGGTCTACACTGACCTTCACAAAGGCCTGTGCCTGAACAAAGGTCTTTGTTCATAGTGTTCAGTTTATTGAAATACAGTTTCACAGGTAGTTCACAAGTGTGGTTCAAGTGCTAAACCACTTTCACTGAGCACAGCCAATACACAGTGTTTACAGGTAAAAGAGTTAATGAGTTTTGGATGAAAGACTCCTGAGTAACAGCTGGCCACTGGACTGGGCTTGTGAACACTTTCAGCAGCTGCACTTTTGCCACTTGCTTGCACAGAGAACAATGCAACAGCGTTTTAATCTACCTTTTCAGTGTCATGGTGTAACTGAAATGCTAATAAATAGTGACAATACAAAGGCTTCTGAAGAGAAATTCCTTGTTTTTTACAGAAGTGCACAACCACCTCTGCAATGTTCAGAAAATGCTTCCAACATTCAGTTACTTAAAGAAAGGGTGAAACAAGGAATAGTCACAGAAATTATTCTAAGTCAATAGCTAATACGTGATTATTGTAGACACTGCAATTAGCTAGGTGTTTTTACAAAGTTGATTTGTGGTACCCTACCATGCCTGGAGCATGGGCAATTCTCTTTCCATCACTGTTAAGATTCCTGCTTATAGAGGATTTGTTATGGAAAAGGAGCAGTCAGGGAAAGGAAGGAAGTGAAGTCATTAACTTTTTTATGAAACTTTTATATCTATCACACTTCTTTCTTTGATTTTTTTTTTTTAATCCAGAAAAATTGAATGCAGTATTGCTGTTGAGATTTTACTTACACAAATGCAAATCTGGTGTCACAATAAATTTAACAAAAACCTAGTGCAGCCAATGGGCAAGCTAACAAAAGGCAACTCCAAGAAGTGGCTCTTGATCAAAGTAACCAAATCATAATGGCTGTAAGAATGCTAAGTGAATTTGTTCTGTTTTTCTTATGTTATTCTCAGTTGCAATCCTGACACAGTATGTCTGTCAGCATAGATATTTTTTCTTAAAAAACCCAAGGTATTTAGCACATTGATAATACCTGCATGCAGTCTTCATTTACTGTAACTAAATCTGCAAGAGGTCAAACTTTGAATGAAAAATAGTAAACATTAAAAAAAGAAAAAGTCCCCTTAATTTCTTGGCACTTTCCTCACATCTACAAAGGCTATCGATCCTACCCTGGCGCTTTACAGATGTGTAGCGGAGTAGTCACTGAACAGAAAATGGGATGGGATAGCTATGACTTCTACTTCCCCTTCACACCGTATTTCCACATGCTCTCCTTTGTAATCATGAAGTTCCATGTTGACCACAGTCCATAATTTAAATAACGGTAACGTATTCCACTGTTCCACACAATTTATTTCACCTCCAAAGAGAAGAAAAAGTGTTGTTCCCAGCTACATCAAATACCAAAATGCAAACCAGTTACTTTTTGCTACTATATTAGCAGAATGGTACGCCTGACGGCTGTACATCCTGTCCGCTTTGCAATGTGTTTTGTACGGTTAATGAAAGGCTGCTGTGAAGTTTTCACCACAGTGCCATAAGGGACGATCTCAGTCTGAATGGCCAGGTATGTTTATGGGTTCAGCTCAGTGTATTTATTTTCAGTTATAGATTAAATATAAAATTACATAAGTGACACGCAGGCATAGCTGTTTTTTATTAGCACCTGAAATGCAACTTACAAGTTGGGTCAAGACCCCTGCCTTTGCCCTTTAGCGTTCTTCAGTCTAGTTCACTGCTTCTAGAACTGTGATCCCCAGATCTCCGGGCATCACTGGACAACCTGTCCATCAGCTAACTAGTTAATTAACACCTGACAGTTAAGTTTGCTGTTCAGTGAAGTTAGTATAGCAAAGATTTAGGGATCCACAGCTTGAAAAAGGGTTGAAAACTATTGCTTCAGTTCAACCACAGCTATTGTACCTTAAGCAGAAATTAATTCAGGGAACTCCTGTTGCCTGTGTTACGCAGGAGGTCACACTACACAATCCTATCAGTCCCTTCTGGCCTTAAAATCTATGAATATAAAGTTTAAAATCCACTAAGGCCATGTCACATTTATTTTATACGATGCTCCCTCACTTTTGCTCGTTCCTGGGGGATTTACCCCTGTTTTCTCTTGCTCTGTTAGTGCAAAGCTTTGAAATTCTGCAATTGCTACAGTATGCCAGCCCCAAGGGTTCAAATTCCTGACATAAACGCTTTTATAGCAACTCCCCTGGGCTGCTTTTATGGCCAGTATGGGGTCTGGCATTGTAGCACTAGCTGAGGTTTTCCAAACCAAGTATGTCTTTGATGCCTGCACAAATTCCACGGGCACTGCAAGAAACACTGGTTATTAATGTTTATTTAATATGTGTAATTTCAGTTCATTTACTTCCCTCATCTCAATCTACTTCATAAAAACTTCACGTTTTGCCATTCAGCCAAACATATTAAAATCTCCTCTAGAAAAACGTAGCTCTGGATTCTGAGACCTGTGCTGATTCTACCAAGACTGGATTAGTTTTCTACTTCTCCTGGGAACTGATAATCACCATGAAGTCCCATGCCTAGACTTGAGCACCACACACCCCAACTTCAGTGAGCAATTTCCGCCGGTGGAACTCTACCTGTGAAGAAGCCAGCCGCGAGACTGGTCGGTGATGTATGCAGGGACACTGTCACCTCAGCAAGAACAATCCCGGTAACGGTGTACAAAATTGCAAGGCAGCCACATAATAGTTTTGCATGCATCAATCCCAGAAATCTACTATTCCTTGCAAGCAGATGTACTACTACCTACCCAAAATTACCAATGCTACCCACACATTTTTACTGCCGACAATGAAGGCTGCGCGTCGGGCAGTGCTGCTCAGAAGAAGATTACAATGGTGTAACAGGACTACTCTGTTACTTCCAAAGGCAGCAGTATTTTTCTTACAGTTATTTGAAAGAGGCATGCATCAAATGCGATTTCCATCAGTTACTCATTAAAGTTAACAAATTACAAGACTTCCAGGTAAATTTTTTGATCCAAGTTTTCCGAGCTCCTGATACTTGCATTAGCACATATACTGATACTTAATACCAGTGAGCTGAATACAGGCTTTTAAAAATAATCCTATGGCAAGCTAATGGAAACATTCTGGATTTTTCCTCAAAAAATGCTGCAGTTTGCAATAAAAATATTGAATAAAAAATATGGACATCATTGATTTAAAAAGTGCTGTAGTCTTATTATCTCATTGGAGGCTTTTACTGAATCCATCACTGCACATCTAAGCACAGCACAACAAAGGAACGTGGTCATTCCAATCCATCATTTTACTCTTTGCGGGGCCTGAAAATGTTATTGATCTTTAAAATGTACATAAATATAGGATTGCTATAGATGCTGCTCCATCAGAGGAGCAGCAACGGCCTCAGACGCATTGCTGAGGTCCTTCTCTCCAGAAAGATATACACTAAGCACACTTCACAGGGTACCTCTCTGCCATATCACACCACCAGAAGACCATGAACTGGGGAACCCTACAGGGTCCTCCTCCTCCTCTTTGGATTTACAAATACGTATCACTAACTGATGAACAATTCCCGCCTTCTGAACACCTGGAAGCTTATTTTCAACAAACTCACACTAAAAAATTCTATGTTAACCCACGGGAATTTAGGTGAGCATTTTGTTCCCTGGTGGCCTGCATGTTGGCATCTCGCCATAGCTCCCGAGCGTGCACCTACAGCAAGGTCCCAGTGCGACCAGAGCACATGTAGACCGGCCTTAGATGGATCTGAAGTGGCAAAGTCAGCCCTGGGACAGATCTAGCGACAGCACTGCGGTACTCAGTCCTGGGGCAGACAAGGTGCACCGGCAGTTGATATGCTCAAAACAAACTCATACTCCTCTCTTGGAAGATTGTGAAGAATTTTGCTACAAACGAATGAGTTATAAAATTTTAACAGAAACAACCTCTTCATCAATTTCTGTGTTTATAGATCAAAAGCACGAAAAGTGCAGGGAGATCGTTGTAGTGATATATTTATTAGTTTCAGTCAGTTACATCTGAAGATGCTGAGTACAAAACATAGTGTTTTGCAGGGGAGAGATTTATGCCACTTTATCAATATTAAATAAGCTTATTAATTCCTAATTTAATGATGATCACATATGTAGTAGCGTCATTTTTACGGAATAAGTGACACATTCAAGCACAGTATTATTTTCGTAGATGTAAAACCCTTGCAGGTTAAACTCGCATTCATTTCCAACTCTTCAATGGTTGTGATATCAAAATAGTGCTTCTTTTAAAACTACTTCTTAATCTAGCTTTTAGGAACTTATACTAATGATTAAGATATTAACATTGCCTTACAGAGGTGACAAAGGCAATCATGCAGTGCATAAAAGTAGCATCCTAATGACACTTTCCCAAATTTACATTTAACTAGAATTGATTATTAGAACTATATTCATTTGTCTTAACAGTATGGAAGATTATAACATGATCAATCAGATTATGAACTGGATATAATTAATCACATTCAATAATATACATTATTATGCAGTAGAGAATAAGTCTACTTATACTCCCTATTGATTATATTGTTTAAAATTTTCAATTAATACTAATTCTGTCTGCATAGCCTCCAAAGAGTTGGCAAGCAGAAAATGCAGACATATAATAAAAAGCTTCATAACAGAGACAAAGAAAGCATGTTTAGAGTGAAACATTCTAAAATTTCCAAATATTTGATTAGATACTCACTTTGGAAATACTGTCCATGTCTCCTGAGCCTTAAATTAAAATAGACAATTATTCAGTTAGTTTTCAGCTGAAGTTAATCTAAGATTTTTTTTTTCATAGTAAATATATAGTGTAACAGCAATATTTTAAAACATAACCAACCATCCTTCATGTCACTTCCTTCCCAATGTCTCTCTCAGTAAAAGTTTACAGTCAATATTGAGTAATATTAGTCCTTTGGTACAGACCCGGTGCAGAAACTGAGAAAAGAATGAAGGACACACTTCCAATCTGTATCAGTTATTTGGATGGCATCCTTTCAGGATGAGACAGCCCAGCACAACTCAAGAAACCATGTGCCTGACCTCCCTGTCCCACTAGCAATGGTAGGGTACACGGAAGGCAGTTAATTTGGGGTATATCCGCCTATGGGAAATGTTGCTTCAGCTTGAGAAAGAAAAAAGCAAAATCATGGCTAACTAGTAAAAGTTGATAATCCTGGGGGAAAAAAAACCTACTGTTATCACTCAGGTCAGCTGGGAGGGTTTCACCAATGTCTTTGCTCCCAGAAGTAGAAGACTACTACCGAAATGGGCTGAAATGACATCAATGTTTGATGCATTATATATACTGATGATGACAGTATCTTTCAGAAGAAAGCAGATGATCCTGAGGACCAGAGTAACAGAAACCAAATAAAATTAAATATAATGGATGCAAGACTATTGAAAAGGATTTTTTTCACATGCTGTAGCTCTCATTCAGGTAACGCCAAGAATAAAGGAAATTCAACTTTACGATAGATGTATCAAGAAAAGCATTTTTAGCAGCAACAGACAGTAAACAATTCTGGTGACCTATTTTCAGGAAAGACAAATTCTAGAAGAGTACTGAACACAAAACTAGAAGAGTATCAGAGAAAAACAATCAAGAGAATGGAGTTGTGGGAGGAGACTGAAATAGCTTACTATACTTAGCCAGGCAAATTAAGGCTGAGAAGGAATATGATTCCTCTCTATAAATACATGAGATACATAAATGTTACAAAGAGTCATTTTGTCATGGCCCATAAGATAAAATTTGGTGGAAATCAGGAAAATATTTATTTCTAACCATCAGAGTTATGAACAGAAATACAACAGAAGGGTTGTGGTCAAAGAAGTTGGAGAAGTTCAAGATGGACTTTGACCAATTTATCCATCTGACTATGAGACACAGCTGCTTACTGCAGCATGGGAATGAATGCAGCAGATCTCTCCCAGCCCTCCTCTCCTAAAAGAACTCGGGTTCCAGTTTAGATACAAAGTCACCCCTAGAAGGCAGTCACCATTAATTTGACTAAGCACATCATCATTTTCACTAGAGAAAATAACTAACCAAATGCTAGGTACACGTAAAAGGCTTCCATAACTGTTTCAATTTAATTTTTTCTTTTAGCTAAGGAATAAATCTCAAGCTATAGAAAGTGACAGAAAAAGATGTGATTACCTTTTACACAGTTCTTCATTTATTTGAATGCAATGTGTATCATTATTAATTAAAGCAGCAATCCATTTTAGGATTGTAAATATGTAAAGAAAGGCTGTAAAATCACAACGTGTCCTTATGCAAAGTAATCTAGGAATCAGGAATGCTTTCCCAGAAAAAGAGATAATTCTATTAGGAGATAGATGCCTACTGCTGAATTTTAATCATTCAGAACATGTCTGCTAAATGAGGTTTGATGGCTTGTTTTTTTCCCTCGTCTTGTCATCGCCTCTTCGAATTTCTCCCTTCTTCTTTATACTTCCTGTCTCACAACCTCCAACTCCTTGGATCACGAGTGATAGACCTCCACCCACCAGGGCAGTATGGAATTAAATGCTATGGAGTTGAGGTTGGTCCATGCTTGTGCTGGGACGGTGACAGAGCTTTTCCTTGGGGACAGCAGCAGGGGGAACACGGGCAGCTTGGCTTCTTCTGCCTGCCTGACCTCCATCTAGCTCACTTGGGTTCCTCCCCATAAAGGAAAACGGCTGCTCAGCAGGGTGCTGATGGGACCCCTTGTGGGCACCGGGCCAGCTCCCAGGTATAAAAGAGAACCTTGCTGGTGGACAGGGGGGATAGCAGAAAAAAAAGACCTGAAGTCTTTGCTGCCCCAGGTTCCCCCCTGTTGTTGTCCGCATGACCCACACCCCTTGGTGCAGCCAGAAGTGAAGAGTACAACGCAAGACCCGTATTCGGAGCTACTGGCCTGGTGTTAGGGTATGCACAGAAATAAAACCAAGGTATTTATTTACTTTGTGGCTATGGAAGAGGAAGGCATAAATGCAATTCATTTATATGTGGCAACACTTCTTAAATTCCTTCCAAGTGTCAGTCACGCTTCCAGCAAAGACTAAGAGCAAAGAGCTTGCTAGCAAGGACAGTCAGGAGGTAATGCAGAGTTGTGCAAGGCTTCTCCCCCACGTACGAGTCCTTCAAAAACCATAGTGTCAAAAGTCAGTCAGCACACTGCTCCTCCTGCCTCTGCACGCCCTGACAAGAATTTATGTTCTTTTGGGTGCATTAAAACTGGCACCTGTCCGAAGCTGTTAATGAGGATGGGTTAATAAACTTACACTTAGCAGACATATGGCTCAGTATGGAATAAATGAGGATATAAAAATGTTGGGATAAAACCAGCTTAACACATACATCAATATATGTAATAACTTACTTCCAGGTAATTGATAAGAACGTGCACCAGCATGTCACAATGACACCTTCCCAAGATTTTCGAAGAGGAACAGAAGTAAATAAAAATGGTTCTTAAGCCTTCAGCTCTACATTACTGTAGACTGGCTTTCATCAACTGGATTAAAACTACACTCTCATATAAATACAGTAACTAGTTTTCTTTCAGAAGTGCATGATGTATGCCAACTCATGCTTAAAAAGTATCTCAATACTTCTTATTGATGTATATACAGCTTTTTCAGTTTTTAAAAGATTTTTACATACAGCCTTCTGCATAACTCAGAGAACTAGTCACAGCAAATGGCACTAGTCATTGAAAATTGACAATGTTCACAATATTTACTATCATTACCTAATGATCCATTCATATGATGTGAATCCATTCCACCCAGTCCACTCATAGGTCCATCTGACCCTGGCCCCATTGGAAACTACAAAAGGAAAACTAGTATTACTGTACAGTTTTTTGTAGATGATTAATAAAATATTCCTCAGGAAAAAAAAAAAAAAGGAAAAATGCACAGTCCCAGCTCTGAAGCTCTGAATGCACAAATCAAGTGAAAGTCTTTCATGTGAAGACTGCAAAAACATAATTGCTTTTGTTCATTTTTTCCAATGCTACCTTCACGATTTTTGGATAGTCTCATCTCTATAGGCTGGAATATAGCTCAGGAATAATTTATTATTTATTTCAACACTTTGTGTATGACTTTCAAACCTGCTAGTGCTGACCTACCTCAACTCTCATTGAAGTTACAGGGAACTTTAGTATTCTCTTCAATAAGTGATTAATTAACAGCTTTCAAACCCCACCCCATCCATACTGACATGTGGACTACTCCACGTTACCTTTGCAGCACAAGCAGTTTCTGTCCAATTTCAGATATTAACCGTAACTTAAGTTCTTAAAAAGCTTAAACACATTAACATAATAGAAAAATTTCTAAAATTCACTGCATAATGATTTAGAAATATCTAAATATCTGTATTTTTAAGTTCTACTGGCCTTCTTTTTTTCTAAAGGCCCATAATATGGATCACGATGAAATGAAATACGGTTGTAATCAGAGAAATACAATAAAACTGAAGGCGTACAGAAGGATCAGAGAAGAAACAAGTTCTACCTAAGAATCCAGATTCCTGTCAGCTCTAGAACTGCTGAAATTTAGCCTAAAATAGTCACAAGTTAAATACTTCATCAGGCAAATACTTAAATGTTATCACTAAGTTTCATTCTTAACATCCCATTCTGATAAACAGGGGCGTTTGTTTCTTCTCAGAGGCATTAATGTTATCATTTTTTACATGGCAGGGCAACATACTATTGGGTCAGTTTAAACAATTTTTGTCTCCCTTTTCCAGGGTAGATACTTTTTTATAACAGAAGTTTGAATCCTGCAGAACCTAATGCTTAGTGACAGCTCCTAGGATGGCGTCCTATCACACAGAATTCTATTGCACTGCAGCGTGACAAACTAAGTCATCCCCAAGATCCACATGCAGAAGCTTCTAAGGTCTTCTCCATGTAAAAGAATATGCCCCAGTCATAATTTTGCATATATTGGCATGACTGATTTGGGAAATGATACAAAGTACATGGTGGGGTGGAACCAACTGAAGCTTCTCCAGTAAGAACGGAAAACTTAGCATCAATGATGGAAATGTAGTGTTTGGATAGAAAAACACTGTATGATTCAAAAAAGTATATCACTAGATTCATATTTACATTAGGTCTGTTGGGTCCAGGTGGTACTGCATTCATTAAAGTGTACATGTTGTCTCCAGAGTTGGTTGAATCTGTAGTAAGAGATTATTTTAAGTGCTAATATATACATTTCAATAAAGCTACTCACCTAATACATTTCCTGTCATTTTGTTCATATTATTTCTGTGCCTGAATCACTGATATACAGCAGCAATATAATGGAAGATTTCATTCCCTTTCTATCTATTGCTACCACACAACAGAGCTACGAAAAGAAATAATTGCAATGGTCCCTAAGTGACTACTTCTCGACTCTGGTTTTATGCATGACTGTTAAAAGATCTATAAATCACCAAGTATCTGTAACTATTTAATTCCATAAACCCTTTTTTCCTGGAGTTCCAAATTACTTCACTCATCTTCAATATTCTCTATAAAACGGGAGTTTCTTTCTTATCAATACTTCCTGTAATTTGTTTTCCATCTGTAATAAATGATAAATAGCTTCTCATTACAGACACTGCAAGTTAGTATAGTGAGTAAAAATTTTTTATTCCCATTCATGTCAGTCTTTGATTTTGGATATATCTAACTATTCAGTGGAACATTGTGCAAAGATCCTTCCTCTAAGGACAGCTCTAACTGATGTATTTTCATAGAACAGTGTGGTTCAATACTTCAAAAAAGCCCTGTGCCCAAAACCGACAAAGCCATTCTGGCACAGCGTGGTGCTTGAGCTATCAAGTTCTGCCAAGAGTTTCACTCGGCCTTGCCAGACGTTGACACAGCTGTATTGCATCTCAGTCCTCTTCCTCCAATGAATGCACATGAACTTTCAGAGGGAGCACCTCCAGAGTTGAAATGTAAGATTTAACTAACAAGACACACAGAAGGCAACCCGTATAACTCTTCTGGTCGAACTTAAGAAACCAATGACCAAGAACCACTAGTAGATACAAATTATGCATTCTGATCTCTAATTTATCCCCAGTGCTAACATGAGCAAAGTCTTAACACCCTTCATCAATATTTGTAAGAAAGAGAAGGCAAAAAATGCAGCAGATAGTAGACAAATTAGGTGAAAACCTTTCCCAAGGGAACTGGACAAGACATAGGCCATGTAATGAAAACGTTTACTGAGAGGTGAATGACCTAAGGGAAGTCTAAATACATCCCTAAGGGGACAGCATGGTTTAAAAAAAACATTGTCAACTCTGGAAAATCAGTACCTCTATAGTACCTACAAAAAAACCAAAGAATAGCTTAGTACTCTGTACCTAGCTCCTCCAAAAGACCATTCCACCTCTTTGAATAAGAGTTTTGAGATGAACAACACACACAAAAACCACTGCTGAGCTCTAATTGCTTTTCCAAGACAAGGTGATGGGGGACTTTTGAGTCAGAAGTAGTGAAAGTGAGAAAACTGAGATTAGACTGGCATGTTGGAATTGGGAATGTGGCCTGAGCTCCTGCAAGAATGTATTTGTACGTATTCTGGGCAGTTAACACCAAAGTTTTGTCTATTCCTTAGTCTTTCTGAGACAGTTTTCTAAGTATTAATTAACCTTGGTAAGTAAATAACTCCATTATGTGCAGAGCACTAAGCACCACCACAACATTCAAATATACTGTTTGAAAAGGAGGGGGAACAAAAAGCTTTTAGCCTAAAGTTATCTAAGTAGAATTAGCACATAAGTTGTTTTTAACATTCAGTGAGGTAGGCAACAAGTTCTTCAACCACTAGATCCTGCTGCAACACATATCTCTGGCTCTCCCCATGTTCTGCTGCCTCCTGTAAAAATACCTATGGGCTAGTCCAGCCATGTGAACCCTCCGAGCTGGTTTGTCTCAGAGGCAAGTAAATACCTTTGCAGAATTCTCAGTGAATTTCTAAGTGTTCCATACTTTGGAAAACAGATCCTCAAAACATCTTTGAGTCTCTAACTGAAAACGGGAACAACTGTCAGCAGAAGCTTTATTTAAGCTGCCCACAGACAGCCTAACGTGTGCTGTAACTGCAGTGCTGACTATTATTAAAAGTGCAGGCTGTCCGTAAGTTTGTTTCATGTTAAGAGACTCTTAACTTTTAAATGCCAGCTTGCACTAATTATCTTTTCCATTAATGATATAAACAAGGAAGCCTTACTCTGTACCTCAGGTTGCATTTTTTAAAGCCCTGGAATTGTATTTAATGAAGATATTATATTGGTGCAAGAAGTTCTCATGGACAGTTAGGAAACTTCCCTACCCTCTTATCCTGTAGAGGACAGCAAGAACATGTAGGATGTAAGGACTGAGGATGCTGTAACATCACTGAAGTGAACAAGTCCCTCTCAGTTGGTGAAAGTAAATTACGAAGACCGATGTTGGACAAAAGGACTAGCCATTGAATACTGGATTATAATACTGGGTTAGTTTCATTTTAGTAGATTTCTGTCCATTGGGGAGGGCAGCCTCCTACACATCTTGCAGTTCCACCTTCATATCAGAATCTTTGCAGAACACTGATGGAGGAGAATACTTCCATCTAGTTGACCATCTTTAAGCCTTGAGAAGCTAGCTAGCCGTCCTGAATCCTCTCATCCTCCTCCTGGGTTCCTCAAACCTCAGTAGCAATGCGGCCAGTCTTCTGTATGGCCAAACTCTCCATGTGGTTGCGAGATACAGACCATGTTACTTGGGGAAACAACGGGGCAGTTGAAGTTCTTGGAACAGATCACTGGTAGGACATGACAATGGCTCCTCTGGGCCCTTACTCCTCCACTGCAAGACAGAGGAGAGCAAGCTGTCCAGCATGACCCTGCTGTCAGTCAGATGACATAGCTGCGGAAAGTAGCACCATCGCTCAAGAGCCACATGTTGGTCAGGTCTATCCCACAGGATACGACAGGGAAAGTTTCACCAGATTTAGAAATCTCCTGATTTCCAAACTGGTGCAAGTGTCCCAAAGAACATTAGCAAAAGCAAACAGAGACTGTGACTTATTTAGTTTTTAACTTGCTATTGCTGAAATTGTGGAAGAAAAAATGGGCCCAAAAGTCAGATAAATGAATTGCTCTGAACTGCAGAGATACAATACTTTGTATGTCTGCAACGTAGCAGGGAAAGAAAGTGAAAGCGCAGGAAAAAACCTGATACAGAAAGTACAAATATAGTAATTTCTCATTAGCAGATTCTTCATGAAAATCAAAGTCTGGAAAATAATTTTGGTACTTCCTAAAATCCCTTATAATTATCTTTTGTTATTTCCAAGTATATTTCAATACCTGCAGGACTAGGCATGATAGGTGTTCCTGGTGGCCCTCCACCTCCCGGAGGACCCTAAAGAGGGTAGAAAATATTGGTTAGCATGAAAGGAAAAAAATACCACAGTAAAAAATGAACAAAGTACAGACAAAAAAACCAGTATCGTGAATGTCATGAGTTACTCTGGTGAAAACATGCACATTTTCTGATAAGCTAGCAAAACAGCTCATCACAGATTAAGACAAGGAAATTGGTCAGCAAGCTCTGGCACAGATTTCTGATGTACATAGGTATACAGACCCAAGAATATCCACTAGTCAATAACTCCGTGTCATGCTGTGAGTCAGACAAGAGAAATACCTGGAGCAGGGCCGAAGACAATTATATTTAATTCCCTCAACCTACTTTTATTACCACTGGTTTTCCAGCTGGCACTTCTGTTTGGTTGTACTCTGTACACAGTCAATGGTGGAGTACCCAATGTTTGCTAAGCACAAAACAAGGGGGTGTCCTATGGGGACATGAGAGCCTCATCACCTTAAGAAAATTTTCTTTTTTAGGCAGACTTGGTTATCTCAATGCCATAGGTTTCTTAATTCTATCGGTATAACATCCTGCAGTTTTTTAAAGTAACATCTGTATATAATTTCTTCTCAAATTAATGACAAATGGATTTTAAATGTCAGGATAATTTCGGGTACAGTCATATCACTTGCCCAGATTGGAAAAGATTGAAAAATCAAAAAAAAAACCCAAACCATCAAGGAGCATCTATTTACTTAGTGTTTTACTTCTGTGGTACAAATGTGTTTATGACTAACAACTGTATACAAGCTGCTCTGGCTGTTAAACAAGCTTTTTAAGGTTCTTTAAGAATTTCTCCAATAATTTTATTCTAAACATCCTAATCGTTTAGTAAGAATATAACTGTAACTTCTTGTTCCCTGTGTTTGCAAATCCACTAGTATTTTTAAGTGACACGAAAAATGACCAATTTCCAGTTTGATAAAAATGTCTGTGTCAATAAAAGTCAATAAATATTGACTTCCCGTAATAAAAAATACAGATATTGCTAGAAATAAATTTCATTGCCATATGACTTACTATATTTTTAGCTCTTTTGTATATTTTAAAATAGCAGATACACTGTTCCAGACAGGAACATTGTTTCAGTAGCACTGAATATAGAGGTTTGGTTGTTCCTGTCTGCTTATAAGGACATTGCTGAGATTTGCTCTAATTCACTAAGATATTTTGGAAGGAGGCAGAGAAGTCTTGGATTTAAAATAACAGGCACTGTTCCTTAATGGCCTATTTAAAATAACATTTCTTAGAAAACATTTAGCAATAATACACTAGTAAACACTACTTTCAGACAATCAAACTCAGTAAGGTGTGAGCTTTCTGGTTGATACTGCTCCTTCCCAGGTTCGTAAAAGTAAAATACTTGCAAGAGAAGCATCTCTGTCTGCCAGCCAGTGATCAGCTCACAGTTAATTGTAGCTGAAATAGAAATATTTTACCCAGAAGCAGCACTACACTGCTGCAGTCAATCAACATATAGATACCTCTACGCCCTTATATTGTGACCCCACCTAACAGTTCTTTATCTTGTGCTTCCCCTTCCTTGTGAACTAATCAAGGTCACCCACTATCTTTTATAAAGTGTGATAGAACAAAGGCTTGGTCCACCACGAAACCCACAGATCATCCTATAAAACTCAAGGCATGATCACAACTTCACTTCTACCTGCTGACTACTCTCAGCACCAGGCAAGACGTGCACTGTACAAGCATTTATGCTGGCAGAAGATTTCAACCCTTGGCCACCTCAGCTGCTCCACCACTATCCTCTGCTAGTGGCAGCCTCAGCTCTGCTTGGAGCTCCCTTTGGGAGTGTCCCTCCACCTATTTTGAGTCAACTGAAGTACTTCAGAAAGGACCTGGTTCTTTAAACGCTTCAGTCAACTTTAGTTGTTGTGGATGAAGAGGGTCACTGATCCAAGGAACTCCAGTGACAGACCTGATGGAGTTGGTAACCTTCAGCAGAAGAGTGGAGACAAGGAATCAGGCAGCAACCTTTCCCACTGGCACAGCTGGAATTCACAGAGCACATCTGACCAGAGGCTCAGGCATTTTCTCCAATACTTAAATCTTTTGTGTGTCTCATTCTGGCATCTTTGCCTATCTTTCGATTTCCCTCCAACATTGCCAATTAGATGCAACATTCCAGCATCAGTCTCATCACTGTCAATGAAAGAGGTAAAACCACCTCTTTACTCTTACTCCTCTACCTATGCACTGAAATATGGTGATGTCTTTCTTTGTCCATGTCATTTACCCCGGCTGATCTTTGGCTTGATGTGAATACACCAACAGAGTCCTCTACTACAACTTCCATTTTACTTAGGTTTGCTTCTTTAAAACAATTTTCTATTGTATCTTCTTTTCTAGTTTCTCAGGACTTCATACTTTTAAAAAAACAGAGTATGAAGCCAAATATTAAAAAAAAAATCTTCAAAATCTACAAGAATAACTCATCACTATTATCTAGGGCAAACCCAACAAAACCTCTTCCCAATAGAGAGAACTTTATGAAGTTCTTCATGAAAAAAAAATGGCTCGGAGATGAGCAGATTTAGAATATTTCCACTAAATATATGTCAAAATGAGTACTACAGTTCTGGACACTTACAAGAATTGTAACCTTTTTCACAGATAATTGTCTAAATAAAGGACAAAAGAAATTGTTTTTATCTAAACAAAACAAGCTCATCCTTGAACTCATCCTGCAGCTTTAGCTCCACAGGACCATCTCTCTTACAACGACTGAAAGTAAGAGAAACCTATAAACAGCACAAATAGATGAAAAACCAATTATACATAGTCCTCACGGTGAAGGATCTGCTATTTCCACATTCTGAAAGTTTCAGATTTTATGTTGGTTTAAGCCAATGCCCTGCAGTTATCTGATACTCGGCTGACAAAACACTAAAGATTAAAAGAGAAGTCTACTGAAACCTGGCCAACCAACAGAAATTTGGAATCCAACATACATATATATATATATAAAATTATCCCTCGTTACCCTGTGACACCAGTAGCAAGCTTGTGATAAAACCAGATGAAACAATATGCCTTAGAAGAGTACATCAAAAGTACAAATAATCCAAGTACACCAATAACAACAACAATGAAGAGCCTAAAAGGATAAACAAAGTTAATCTCTTGGGATAGAGACAAGAACCCAGCAGTATATTCTCCAACAATTTTGTTGATAGGCATAGTGTATTTGTTAAATTCCAGAGAGAGGGTTAGCATTTCCTGCTCTTTTGAATGACAGCTCAATGATGGGCCTATTAGAAAGTTTTAACTATTTCATTCTAAAGTAGACTAAGAAAAAACAATGATACCAACTAATCCTTAATAAAGGAAATGAAGACATAACAGACCACGGAGAAAAAACTTTTCAAGTCTCCAGAAGGTCATTATAAGAATAAATTTTTCCCTTAAAGTGTTGGCCATAAGGACCCATTTATATATGTTTGGAGAGACAAAAGCTTGTTCTAATTCTTCAAATACTTATTTTTTAATGAAGAAGTTCAGAAATTCATACACAAAATTGTGTTACCAAGATGTAAGGTTTTGTCCTTTATTATTGAAGACAATATATTGTATTGGTTATGTAAACATTTGCTGACATAAAACAGCACTCAGGGCAATTTTGACCAGACTGACAGTGATTCTAGTAATGAACATCAACATATGCACCATAAATGGCAGAAAAAACCCTAAGTGAAGATCAGATGTTGAGTTCTCAACCAATACACAAGGGTTCTTCTTAACATCTGGACAGCTATTCTTCTGCCTATGTAAAATGTAACATCCATTCTAATAAGGAAACACACACAAGTGTACTTACCACATAGTTCCCAGGAGATGCTGAAGAATAAGGTATCTGTAATATCAACAGAAGCAAAACAGTAATTTCTTCTGCAGTAAAATGGAGTCTATATCTACATTTATATACACTTACAGGTTAGCTCATGTTTGTTTCATTTATTTCAAAGACACAGTTAAGGATTATGGAAAAATGTTTCTTGTTAAAAACAAACAGCTCTTCTTTTCAACAACTTCTTGTCATAAGTATGTTCAAGTCCAAAACTAGCAATATAGGCACAAACCAAATTTAATACCCAATATTTCAAATAAGAACATTTCCATTTAAGATTACTGTGCTCTGGTAGCTGCTCTAAATGAAACCAATACGAATAACATAATTCACACAATTGAATGTCTGTAGGCTGAGATCTAATATCTGCGCTCTATTTTTTCATAAGTGAGGCATGCATTTTTAACAGCCACTTTTTTAAGATACCAAATTCAACTCTAGTACCAATCCAGTTCTTGCATCTACTACTGTAGTCTTATTATTCTTATTGCGGGAGGCACAATAAGCTCTGTAAAGATCTGCAGTCTATAGTAAAAGGTTAAACTATAAGGTTATTAAGGTAATATGCTTTATAAGGCTTACAAACTTACAGAGCACATACTTGCATTTAAGTCAAAAGGACTTCAGAGTTGTCCCAAGCATGGACCGAATATTTATGTTCTTATATATACTTAATCTTGATTAAAATCTTGACCATAGAAGGAAAAGCAACTCTTGTAAGTTTCACCCTAGAAGATACTAATTTTATTTCTCTGCATTATTCTTTTTTTTTTTTTAAAGGACAGTGTTCTATTTGCATTTCAAATTCAGTTGTGGTATTTGTTACAGAGAGTATCTGGGGAAAGCCTGGGAATAATCCAGTTTTCTTCCTTATGATACCCTTTGCAATTATTCTCTTTAAAGGAGCATGGACCAATGCTATTATAGGAGGATGGGGTAAGAAGTAAGCAACTGTATGGACAAAATACAAAACTGTTTTGTAGCATAAGCATCTTACATGATCGTAGACAACTTGTTAGCCAACTCATTTTTACAAATACATCTATTACTAGACTCTCAATTAATTTCATAGAATGAAAATATTTCAACTACCAGTTGAAAAATATCCTAACATGCGCTTCAGCTGAGTACAAGCAAAAGAAAACCGAGGACGAGTTTCAGCTCTTTTTTTCTCCAGTTGTCATTAGTAGAATTAAAAAATCAGAACTGGAAACAACAGAAAGAACCAGGCTAGTCTGTTAAGCCAGATCCATCTTATCCAACTGCAAGTGCTAAAAAGGGACACATTTTTATACTAATGATGTACGACCACTGAATGAACACGAAAACTTATACCTTTGTGTTTTCTGAAGAAATACCAGACATGTTGTTCATGTGGGATGCCTCACTGACCTCCTCGTCCTTCAAGCTGCTATTAGACTACCTCATTTTATAGTTGTTGCAATGAAATTCAATAGAGTGCACTGCTTTTTACAAAACGCGTATGAAATCGTGGATGTCTTGCAAGCAACTGCTCTATGATTCCATGTTCCCTAGTTAAGAGAAGCAAATGTGCTTTTCTTATGTATGCATCTTAACAAGCTGTGATTTCTGTACAGCTTGCTGGCCAGATAGCATTGACCTCATCTTACTTGCACGAAAGGAAGCTAAAATGTATTTTAAATATACCCCAGGATAACCTTTGTGTTAAGGAAGTGCTGTAACTGATGTAAGGATGCAGAGCTATGTGATTATGAACACCGCTGGATATTTGCAGGCCAACGAGCTCTTTGTTCAGATGTGCTCCTCAGTGTACCTGCTCTGCGTTAGGGTTATGGAGAAAAATATAAAGCATGCAGTATTCTATTTCTTAAATGAAGTGGATTTTTTTTTCGTGGTGTATTGATGAGAAATACTTTCCTAAATGTAAGATAATGTCTAATGTATTCCAAATATTTACTCACAGAATTGGCATTGGTTGGGTTTGGCCAAGGTCTACCACCCCCAGGACCCCTGTAACAGAAGATGAAAGATGAGACACAGAACAATCCCCATCTTCTGAGCAGCTCTGAGGAAGCAGATTGAAACAATCCGCTTCCAGAGTAAGGAAGAAGATGGCCTTTTTCAAATTAAAGTGTGATTATAAACCATAACTACACCAAGTTATAAAGCTAGAGCAAAATTCTCATCATTGCACTACCATCATTATTTAATCAGTTTATGAGTTGATTACAGATAATTTATGTATCATTACAACCCAGCCACACACAGTTAAGACACTTCAGTTCCTGACTCATTCTGGTACTTCTGCGCTCTTCAGGACAGGACCTGCCACAATGGCACCACAAGCAGTCCTCCCCCAGCAGCCACACTGACACAGGCGACAGTGGAGACGACGCAGTTTTGCATCAGTCCCCACCACTTGCAAGTTTCGGAAGTGCCACACATTCCCCTTTCGTATTCCAAATGGAACAATTCAAAAGACATTGCAAATCTGCGTCCCTTGAAGTGCCTTCCTTCTGTTTAGAAAGGCTTTAACTCTGTGCTACATAGATGCAACATTTTAATGTGGCACGGAAATTTTGCAGAGTAAAAAACAAGTTCCCAAGTTCTTTAGGTTCTCACGAGGACTGTTTTTCCTTGTACTCTGTTAACCTTTTTAAAAATATTTGGAGAAAGTATCATACATTCCACGGAAGTCCACTTACAGTACAGAGAAAGGTACAAAGGTCCTAAAATATAAGTGTAATTTCAGCCATAGCAACAGTACTCTCGCTTACATAATAAAGTCCCTTCCTGAGGAACTGAGGACGAATGCATTGATTGAGTATGGCTCTAGAATACTGCAAGTATAGTAAGGTTTCATTAGTGAAAGTGATGCTAGTACCTTATAAATGTTTTGGGAAAACCTATTTTTTAAAAGAACAAGCCATAGAAAATACGTCACTATAACCTGCATCTGATAATAACAATAACAATAATAAATCTCATGCATTAGAAGTTGAAAACATGCCATTTTATACATAAACTTTAAATGTATGTTTCGGTATGCATGTAAAAACAGTTTGCTATTTGACTAGGGCTACACTATCTCCACAGAAGTCACAGAAACATGAGATTTATCGTACAGCAGGCAAAAATGGAAACCTCAAACTTTTCAGACATCCTCGTTACACCTGGCCGAAATGGTATACGCATGATTAAGTGGCAGCTCCCCAGCAGGGGGGACAGGAGTGTTTCACAGCCAGAAAACCTGTTTGATAAAGCCAACTCGAGGAGACATCAGACGGCTACTAAAGCCAGAAGGGAATGGGGAAAGGAAAAAAGATCCAGATAGAGCATGTTTTTCTCACAACTCTTGCTGTTATTTCAAGTTTCTCACTCCTAGCTGAGCTCAGAAAAATAGTTTGGTGGTCGGGCTTCATCTTTTAACAGTCCTGAGGGAACTAAGCCATATGGGAGGTAAAAATCTCCATGTTTGCAGTCATAACATCTCAATAACCATAATTATTCCTGGGAGCATTAAGAACTCCTAGTTATTTATAAATAAGACAAAATCACTTTTTGAAGGCCCTGACAACTGAGAGGCAGAGCAGATGACAAAATTTTCGCATTTAAAATGGCATTTTGGCCTCATTAGCTTTAGAAAAGCAACATTAGCCACCACAGCTTACCAGACATGGGAGAGTGATTTAAATATAGAGAAGAAAACAGGCTTTATTAATGAGTCCAGGAAGTTTTCTATCTACTTTTATGTCTTGCAAAACTAAAAATTATTAAGTAGATATGCTGCCCAAGGGATTTAATATCGAATTTTTTTATTATTATTATTATTATTACATTGTTGATAAAACTGTAAAGAAATTAGCACAAACAACCAACTGAAATAAATCAAGGGAAAATTGATTTTTTTCCACTGACATTATTTCTGGAAGGTTGGAAACCAGGAATGTAAGTGAGAGTCTTTTCTGCCTTATTCATTAGGAATAAACAAGGAAAGGGACTCACAGTACTCATGCTCCTCAGGTCAAATATTCAGCAATTTCTCCTCTGCTAACAATTACAAAGTGAAATATTAGGTGTTCTTTTTTCTTTTCTTTTCTTTTCTTTTCTTTTTTTTTTTTTTCCAAAAAGTTGTTCTGTTTTCTATGTAACATATTTGGTTTACCGGATCCTCTTCTTCAGAGAAATCAGGAACATTTTTAACAACACTGGACGTCTGTTTTCATGCCAAAACCCTGCACTTGTGTGTGTGTTGCATTAAGTAACACAAATATACTGAATGAAAGGCAGTAAATGGAAAATAGCTGTGAGGACACTGCAGATTACTCTGAACTACGGAGATATAAAACAGCCGACTCAGATGCACGATTGGGTTAAGGCCCAGCAACATGGAAATTTAGACAGCCCTTACGAGGAGACTGGGAAACTCACCTTTCATCTGAAAAGCTGTCAGAATTTGCAAATTTACTGGAAGCCATGGACAGCTCTAAGTATAGACTTAGAAAACACTCCAGCAGATTCTGCTGGAAAGCCATATGGTTTTTGTGGAGCCAAATGTTGTTAAGCTTATAAAACACACATTAAAAACCAGCTACCTGCAATTTTTTTCAATGCAATGCAAGCAGGTTTTTGGCCCTTTATTAAATGTTTATTTAGGAAGCATCAAAAGAGTCATAAAACATTATTATGAATGTACCAATTCCAAAATAGAGTAAGTTATGAGGTATCTATCGCTATGACTAATTACAGCTGCATTTTGTCCTTAAAGTTAGTCCCATAGTGTTGATCCTAGTACTTGGAAAAATAAAGTCTAAAATTTCAGTTTCTCAAGGGGCAAATATCTTCAATGAGGAAATTAAACATCTAGACACAAGTTTGTGAATTGAGATTAAAAAAACACAATCATGTTTTTTTTTTTTTCTTTTCAGGCATGACTAAGGTATTCTTAGAACTTGAGACAGCACTGCAGGTCACATGGGCCATTAAAAAGTGCCAGGGAAATATAACACTGCTCCCTGAAATCTGCCATTTTGTTCCAAATAGAACCTTACTAAAAATGTCTACACCAAGTTTCAACTTAAAACCTTATAGCTAAAATAAAGTTATTTCATGGAGAACATAGGATCTGTATTGGCTGTTTCAAACAGTAATATGACAGGCATTAGTTATGTTGGAGAAAGCAATTATTTAGTAGTACTATGTTTGTGGAGTGTATGCTCTTGGACAGGAATACTGTCTACAAGATGTCAAGCTGGTTGCTGCCATTTTTGACAATAAAGAACACTTTTTCATCCAAAAAAATGCAGAATTATATTTGGCTGATAGTCTGCTCTTAACCAAAACAGCTTCCTTTCGTGCTTTCCGAGGAGAAAAAGATGGATTTAAATTGACAAGCGTTTCTGAAGAGTATACATTTTAGTATCTTAACATTGCCAAAAAATCCAAAAACATTGAATAGAACACTGAACAATTTTCGTGTAAGAAAAAGATATGGCTATGTAAAGACAAATGTACATTACTATAAGGCAAGAGCCTTATGTATAGTTATCCTGTTTCCTAGAAATGTAAGTACACTAAATGATTTACACTGTGCATTAGATACACTGTAAGGGATAATACAAAGAACGCATTTAACACAGTTGGGTCTGTCTATTGCCATTGCCTGCAGGTTATCCTTGGATGCACTCTGACTGATCCTGAATGCTGGAACTGACCAGACGATGAGTCTTCACTAAGATTTCAGTGCAAGGACAACTTTGACAGCAGTAACTTTGCAGTAAGAAAAAACCCTGATGTCCTGTAAATGCAATTAAAAGAAACCCAAGACTGTAGTTACTCCTTTGTTTTCCTCTTTATCAGTATATGTCACTCCATTTGAGAGAGGAAAAAAATACTCAGTTTGATGGTAAAAAAATTATTCATCGTGTTATAAGGTATGCAATAATGGAGCTCCTTATGATGGTCTGTGACTCAGCACGTAACACAGGTTAGGGTATACTATAGCATAATATTCCAGTACCAGCACTTTGGACTCTCTTATGCCTTTAAAGTGAATTGCAATAAGCAAAGGGACAGCATGAAGTCTTGTTCAAAATCAAGAAACAGTATTCTGTTCCCACTTTCAACTGAGCTGGAGTAAAGATGAGTTTGGAAGAAATGTAAAGGAGTGCAGTATATACATGGTAAGACACGGAGACAGCTACAGTTAACTTATTCATAATTATTGCTTTACATCTTGTTCATCTCAGCAGATCATATACTATATCAAAGTTCACGAATATCCCAAGTAAAGGACTCCAGTTCATGGGTTCCCTTAAAGAGGACATACAAGTCCAAAGGAAAATGTACTTCCCACATCACTGAATTAGAAGAACATCATCTATGTATGTCTATTGGCCCAATTTAAGACAAAATATGCTTATTAAATGCTAAAATATGGAAATGATAGTATTTCAACCCATAACCATCTTCTCTCATTCTGGCAGACCAGGAATTCTTTTTGTCATCCAGGAATGTGTCTTCTTATTTTCCCTATGCAAACTCTCATTTATGTGGATAAGTAGCCTCAAAATATCTTACCTATCCTGAATTTTACTTCTACAACATTTTATTTTAGAAACTTTTCTTATAAATAAATCTCCTCCTGAGGACAACTTATGTCGTGCTTATATTATACTCACACTGAATTTTCAATATCTAAATATTTTTTTCTACATCAATTCTATTTAAAAGAAATGCCTACCCTTGTGAAGGCTCCTAGAATTGACTTGAGTCCAATATATGATGTCTATGATAGAGTAACACCCAACTTTAGATTTTATTTTATCTGCTTCAAGAATTCAAGGTATGTCTGGAAATTAGAAGAAATTAAGGATATGGTGGATTAGATATTTTTTTAACAGTATTATCTAGCTCAATACCTCTTTTAATTTTCAGGTTGGTAACTCTTTACTTGAAATTAAAATTATCATCTCTCGTTTATGTTTCCTATAAAAATAAGAGTAAAAATGGGTATCTACAATATAATGATAACAAGTGTATAATCTTGGCTGTGTTTTGTGTAGATCTGCTGAAAACCCATCTTGAAAGGCAAAGGTGTAAAAGGAGTAGGAAAAGAAGATATTCTCTTCTTTCAGTTGTAAAATCATTCTGGTGTCTTGATAGCTGGACCACCGTGTCGCCTTCTCTGACCACTCAGGGACTGAAACATGCTGGTTATGAAAAAGTGTACTAACTTTGGCAGAGGTAGTGCCAAGATACAAGGATAACTCGATGATCTCTGGTCTGTGTTACACTATAGGTAACTCTAGCAGCCCCTTGAAATTTGTGAATCTCTTAAGAGAGAAATCTAAATAATACGAGGAGCACCTCACCTTCTTCCAGGCTTGCTAATCATATAAGGAACTCCAAGCAAGCGAAAGATTTATCTAAAGTGCAGAAGATTCCTCATGTTGGGCCACCTGCTATGCTAAAATCCTAAGCTTAAACCTAGTCTACTCTAGGTACAGTAATTTTACATCTGAAATTTATCTACACAGGTATGAAAGGCAGAATACAATTCCATGACTAAATCCGTGACTGGAATAAATCAGCACAGCTTAACTGAACTCAGTCTATATCAATTTTTACTAAATGACGATCCAGTCCCAGAAGACCTTACACTCATATCTGTAATACTCTTCTATATGTTTACAGTGGAAATAAACGTAGTTACGGAAATAAAAACAGCAACAGAGAGAGAATCATCCACACTTCTTCTTTCAAATATGTCTTTTTTTACAAATAGTTCTAGACAATGGTTTAATTTTGCTAAAATCAAGTACTTCTTTATTCTGCAGTAAAGAACCATACCTGTACCATTCTTTATAAAATATTTAATCAGTAGTGTAAAAACATAAATGTGAATAATGTCATTTAAAAAAAAAATGCATACAAGGATATATCAGTGACAATACTGACAAATTATTCCCAATATCTGAACTTTGACCTGTGAAAAAAACTGAGTATTTGTACAGATTTGTAGGGACAGCAAAGGCGCCTGTAAGAGATGCATGCAGAAGGAAACTGCTGTGGGTTCACTTTTTAAAATTGCAGTTATTAGTCATCAAAGCATGTTACTTATCAAAGCATGTTCTCCCTTATCTTATGTATCCCAAATGTTACTTCTACAATGAAATAATGATTTTTCTAAATATTATAAGATTTTATTATTGTGCTTACATGTTCATTCCAGGCATCCCCGGGCCACCTAAAGCATTCAGTGGGGGTCTCATTGCACCTCCATAGTTCTGCAATGATAACCAAGGGTCAGACTACCACAAAACAAAAAAACAAAACCAAAGAGGAGGGGGAAAGAAAGGACAGCAGGTTAATGATATCCCTACGTAACTGCTGAGTGGATAGGCCAATGTAATTAATTCTTTCAGGAGTTTCCATTGTTGACTTAAAAAAATAATATCGTTAACCCCAAGGAGAAAGAATTACAAGCAACAGAAATAGACTAAGAATACTTAAAATGTCAATTTTTTCAGGAGGAATTATTTACACATACAGAGGTCATGTCCAAAGCCAGCAAGGGGCAGGTTTGATAATATATTCAACTTATGTATCAAGGGAGCTCATTCAAAATCAGAAATCTGGACTTAGATTCCAAGATTTCTACATCATGGAATTTAAATATAATTATTTTTAATTAAATTTTGTTAGGATATTAATAAGTGCTTGTATAAAATTACACCATATGATATCACTTTTAAAACACACAACATAACCATTACATTTCTAATCACTTAATTCTAGTAAGTCTATGGTAACTAATATGAAAATTATTTAATAAGATAATGCATGTCATAGTGATGCCAGCAAATGAATTGCTCAATGCCTATAAAATCTGAGTTTGTGCTCTGATATTACAACAGAAGTTTAACTGTACTATTTACATGAAAAAATAAATTATACCTATTTTTATTCAGAGGAATACAAGCAGAAGAGTCTATCTCAACTTTCAATCATAATGCACTCACTAATCTGTGTTAATCCTGCTACGTTTTTCTGGTATTTCAAAAGAATGGATAATAGTAAATTCTCCAAAAATGAACAGCTGTGCATTTTGGAAGGAGGGAGGGACAAAGAACCAATTTACTTAAAAAAAGTTTAGGTCACTGTTGTGGTCTGTTTTCCAATAATAAAACTAATGCACTCAATTTTATGGGTAGTGTACTACAAATTACATAAACTGTATGACTCAGGCTTATGGGTGTTCTCTATATTGGTCTGATTCACAAACCCATGTAAACATGAAGTCATGAGCTCAGGGGAGAAATCCAACAGTGATATTCAAAGGGTGGGTCTGGTGCCATTTATACCTTGAGTAGCATGACATATCAGTTATCTAGAACTGATCGAGAGCTGATCCGTAACTAGGAGAGGAGGTTCTGTTACTGCTAACAAATACCCCAAACCTAAAACTTTCGTCATTGTTAACACTCCTGAAAGTGTCCCATAGATAGCTGGTTTGCAAGAATATATCCAGAGGCTGCAAAAAGATGTCCCCTTCCAGACCTAACAGTGCCATCTGAAGACAGTATTATCCACAGCTGCTGGTCATCCATCAGTATTCATTCCTGCCTTTTTGGGTGCAGCCAGCAGACTGACTGGTGTGCATGCTCAGGCAAAAGTCAGCCAGACCAACTCAAACCTCCTGTTTGATCTAAGTTATTCTCGATGATTTTGTGTGAGGAATTCCTCTGTCAGAACTGCTGGGCACTAAGTGGTGGGCAGTCAAAGCAGTGGGCACAGTAACATCTCCAGTTGGCACTACTGGATCTGGCAGAGAACACAGTCTGACTGTAACAAAACAGCAGTTCTGTATGTCTTCTATTTCATTTTTCCATCTTGATGTGGAGGGCTGAGCCATTCTCCCTATTTGGTCTGTCTGGTGTTCCCCCTCTTTATTTTAATTCAGGAACCATTTGTGTGGACCGGGGTTAAAGATCTCTGTGGAATCCTGCAGGACTGGAACCATCCTAATCAAATGTACTTCTAACTCTAATTACTGCTAATTCCAATCAAATGTACTCCTTTGTCCTAAAATAAGAGCGCTATCATTAAGGCTACAAATACACATGTTCCTTCAGCTGCAGCTATGCTGTCTGCAGAAGTTAGTGCCCCAATTTGCTCCTTACAGCTTTTTACTCAAAGTCACCACCACCACTGTTTATCTGCTAGTTGAGCTGTTCATAGAAGTGCTCCCTAATGTCAGGTAGCCAAAATGAGCCAGGTTAACCGAGACCTATTTCTTCAATATTTAAGTTGACCCAATTCCTTTTGACTAGAAAGCATTAGGGATCACGTGGGAAGCCATGAGGGACTGGGAGAAGTAGCCAGTCACAGATTGGAGGTAGTACCCTGTTCAGCTGGCATAACTATGGCTTGAAAAAGCCCAAACCTCATTCTTTGGAGCTTTTCACAGATTCAAGCATTTACAGATATACTTTTTGCTTCATATTACTTAGTCAGGAACAGTCCAGAATCATGAAATACAAAACTGAGGTAAATTTTCTGTAAGTTTTCAAGCATATGCATGCTGTACTTGTTATCCTGGACATAAGCATTTCTATACTGGCACATTAAGTGTTTTGCAAGTTGACTGCCTGTGCAGCAGGATAGCAGGGCCTCCCACTACAGGCAGAGCTAAGTCAACTTTACAGCACTGTAGCAAGAGGACCTTAAAAGTAGGTGTGAAAGATTCATCCAATTTGGCTTTAGAACTGCATTCTGAAAAGATCCTAAATGCCAGTTACAAAGACAGATGATGATCCATTTATAGAAAACATTTATTTGTGAGCTTAAATTTTGTGTAGATTAGCTACATTGTTCTCCATTTTAAGAGGATGTTCAGTACAAGAAAGAAGAACCTTACAAAAACACTGGATTTTAAGAGACAGCAGAAATGGAAAAATTATCCTTGTAAAAACTGGCATGAGATTTGCCTGCTGTGTGACTAATGGTGCTGCATAAAGCGTCAGCTCAATCTCACATGGCAGCACTGCAAAGCTTCTCTTTCTACCTCCAAAAGGCAACTGGTAAATATACTTCAACACTACAAAAAATAACAAATTTATTTAATAATGGTTTGTTGGTCACACAGCAGATGTAGTCTAGAACTGCACAACTGGTTTCTACCAAGAAGACCCAAAATTGTAAAGACAGCTATGAACAGATTTGAAAGGCAGAGATATTTAATCATTTCGAATTCAGTTGCTATTCCAAGGAACAAAGAAGTCACTAGAGAGATTATCTGAAATGGGGAAGTAAAAATGCAAAGTGTGGGCAAAACAAGCACACTGTAAAACAAAATACTGGCAGCACTGGTATGGAACACCACCACCTAAATTTTCTCTCACTGAGAGCGCTGACAAAAATACAGAATAATCTTTTGGATTCCTATTTCAGGTATACATCGGAATTAAATTATCTTCTACCTTAGTTTACTGTTGAAATGTAGCACTGACAAATATCCGCTCGTATTTTCAGACTTTGGAAGAAAGAGCCTACGAACAATTGTGACCGGGTCAGCACCATGGAGAAGGCTCATTCTCGCAATCCAAGGTCGCTCAGCGCCTCGGAGAGAGCTGGAGAGGTGTTCATTATGATTGACAACGGGGAAAAATGGCAGCATGAACTTCTCAGTTTACATTACAATCTCTCTAGCACTCACCAAAAATCTAGATCAATAGTGGATGAAAGAAAAACGTCAAAGAATTTGGGGGGTGGGGTGGGGTGTGTATTTTTCATACAAAGAGCTTGCCTAAGTTAGAAGTATTATTCCTTTCCTCGTAAACAGCATAATCAATTAGGTTGGGAGGATGAGGGAACACTTACTTGATCTTTGGTTTCCTAAAGGATCTCCTGGGATCTTTAGGAGATCCTTGGATTTCCTAAAGGCTCCCAAATATTCACCTCTGACTGCAACATACACTGGCTGAAGGACTAACATAACTTTTCCAAAATAAGCAAGTTAAGATTCCTCTTTTGATTTCAAATCTTAATCAAAATGACTGACATTTTCATTTTCGACTTTGTACAGCTGCAACTCAGAATTAGTTTTTGTAAAACACTAAGTTGTTTTTTTTTAAATGGGATTAGAAGAACAAGCCCTGGCCATCTTCAAGCTATGGAAAGTCAGATTAATATAGTGTACATATAGACCTATCAATAAAAATGGGTGTCTATCTGTGGAAGGTACCTGCGGTCCTAATGGAACCATTCCTCTTGGAGGAGTCATTCTCTGCATTGGCCCACCCATGTTTGGATGCCCTGCAAATAAAATTATGTAACTTTAAAAAACTATGCAATACACAAGTACCTTCTAAAACAATTTTAACAAATCATTACTTCTTAATTAACAAAAACCTTAAAAAGCTGCAGTAAGCTTTGAAACAAGGAAAGAAAGACACAAGCTTGAGAAGACAGTACTTTTGAATGATCCAAATAATTATTTCATTCACCTTGCTGCCGTGTTGGGTCCATTCCACTAGGCAATAATGGCTGACTCCCTGGGACACCTCCGAGTGCCTGCAGGCATAAAAACCATATGTTAAAAGCATATAATGCTTTGAAATTTATGTTAAAGACATAACGCAGATATTTTGGTTTTAAGTCCTGGATATTTCTTCTGAGTCAGGAGTAATGTGAAAGAGTTGACCTTCCTAAATGCCCTAACTAAATGTCTTAAGTGTCTAACTAAACTAAAAGTCCCAAATGTTCTATGACCTTGACTATGGATTTGCATGGAGAAACTCTTGGACTTCTGTGGATTTATGTGTAAATATTCTCCAAAATATAATTGCCTGATTTGCTTCCCCCCCGCCAATACCTCCTTCATTTTAGCTTACCTATTATTATACCTCCAGTTGTTGCCTTTTTCTTGGGTACATGGCAATTTATCCAAAGCTTGTATTGCTGAAGTTTTCTCCTTTAACCATTATTTTAACATTTCCTTTCAGAGGTCAGGATGTGGACACTGATATTCTCTGCGAGTGAGCCCTAACTGAGCCAACCACAGAGCATTCACAGGGTACAGTTAATTAGGGCTGTGATGTGGAGGACGTTTTATCTTCCGCTCTGCCTTACCCTTGAAGGGCACCAATGTCAAGATAAGCTTATTATTCATCTATGGGAGATAACAACAGTCACAAAACTTGCTCCTAAATCTTGCCTTCAAGCATGGAGGTACATTGTGTTGTTACTTCACTTCTGGTCCAAATCAAACTCATTGTTTTTATGTTCTCACATTTTAATCTGTCCTGTGGGTTTATAGTAACGGAGTTAAGTTTGAGGCTAATGTTTACAGTCTCTTACCTGTAGTTTAGCCAACTAGAAAAAGGTTTTTATGAATGGATCTTTGTAGCTGATCCACTAGGTGCTATTTAGCATTACAAAACAACACCGCATTTTCAGCAAATATGTATCCAGAATGAGTAAATCTGTTATGAAAGTAATCTACTCAGGCAATAGAGGTATTGCTGACTGAGGGAATGGACAAGTTACTCTTGATCTGGAAATACTGTAGTAGTCTTGGATCCGTACAAAGTGGAATCTCTATGCAAATACTATACAGTTTGTTTCCACAAGAGGTAGGAAATTCAGAATTAAGATGCATGTTATTACCACAAAGGTAATACAGTCAAGAGGTACTGCACTGCAAGATTGATGGAACAAACAAATAATCTGAGACAACATCATTTAAATCAGAGTTTTACAGGTACTTCAGTGGCTTGAAGCCTGGACAATACATAAGAACAATACATGAAGTCCATGGAGAAGTGTCACAGACTGGCAACGCGGGAACTGGTCACTTCTGCTAGAGATGGCAGGTGACACACAAGGACACAGAGACATTTGCTGCTGTGAGCACATGTGACCAAAGACTTGACTCACGGAGTCATTACACTGTGGACCATTACATGAGGGACTGCGGTTCCTTTCCAACATGTCATACCACTCTTCACGAAAAATGAGTGTACCCGCACAGCATAACGCATTGCCAACAGCAAATACCCTTGCAGGGCTTGATCTCACAGGACGTGATTGAGGACTGGAGGCAACTTAGGGGCACTCCTGCGGCACGAGGTCGGTACTAACCTTCCTTGCTACAAAGCCCAGATCTGGCTCAGACAGCCCTTACACAGCACTGGACCGCGCTGTGCACGCGTGCCCTGTGTTGCCCTTCCTTGCACAACCCCTACTGCGAGGCATTGAGGGATAGAGTTCTAGTTATGGTGGGAGTTTTAACTCTGATTTTTACTGACTCTCATCTTATCGAAATTTCAACCTTAAAGCTGCACTACAATAGTTTATTACTTCCACACACTGCCCATCTATACTGTAACTTACATAATGGCAGCATGGTTAAAAGCAGTAATTCATGAATGTGGCATAAAGTAAATGAATTGCAAAAGCTGTAATTCACTAAGATTATGTGATTATGCTACAGTTTGGAAATGAAAATATCTCAATGTGCAGACAAAAATGCTTTCGAAACTAAAACTGCAGGTTGGCAGCGCTTTCACAGCATTCACCACATCCAGTTTCTACCTGCCAGTATTTACACTGTTCAGAAACGCAGAAAGAAAAACAAAGAAATATGTGAAACCCAAACACTGGTGTATCTTTGGCTAAGATGGAACTGAAAGGTGCAATATCAGGAACATATTTTGTACTGAGTTACAGTATGTCTGCAGCAAATACTCAGCTGAAGTGCTAGTGACATTGCACTCTTATGCTGCCCCTTGATGATCACTTCAACAAGGTTGATTAATTACAGTCCCCTTGCAAAAAAGCAGCTATGGCACAGGTAACTTAACCTGCTCCTAAACACCACCATGTTTGATTTGGAGGAACATTTTAAGAAATCTTGTGACCTCATATAACCAGCTCACTAAATTTTAAACTTCAACTTTCTGGAAATATTGTGCCAGCGCTGAAGACAAGTTTGTTGAGACTGTGTTATAGAGATATAAAAAATACCCAGAACTGAGGTTGGAGCGGAAAAGTCTCCTCATCAAGCTGTGACAAAAAGAAAGGCAGTCCTGGAAGTCTAAGTTGCACTAAAAAACGCATTCTATCTGTCCTATCAACCTTTCCCAATATTGTAAATGACCCAGTTTTTCTTTCAGAGCTCCACTGGTATTCTTCTGTCTGCTTATCTCTAACTTTTCATCTGTTGACGACCGCTTTCTCCTCCTCTGTCTGCACTACAGATAGCTTAAAAATACAAATGCTATCTGCTTCCAGAACCATCTTGTCACAGATGGGCCAATAAAGGTCTCTGCTGACGAACAGCAGCTCATTACTCATTCTTGTTACACTGCAATGCATATCCTTTGATGGAGCTGAGAGAAAATCAGGCATTTGATGCTTTTATAAAGTCCTCAGCACTTTATGATATCTGTTTCTCACCAATAATCTCCACATTTACTGTGGAATAAATATACTTCATATATCCAACAAAGAATAGGAGGGAGTAAGGCACTTTATGTAGAATTAAGTAAAAAAGATCTCAGAGCTAACCTCTTGATGTGGTTAGGAAAGTTTAGAGAGTCTACCAGCTATGGGGATGTTCTGCCTTCATCTCAAGGCAGGGAGTGATGTTTGGCTGATGTTAACGCTGCACTGTAGGAGGCAATGATCCCCTCCCTCTGCAGACAGGCTTAACGCACAATAAATTTTGAGGTGCAGACACTAATTAAGCACAGGAAAGTGAGCTGGGAGTGGCATGACCACACCTTATCAAAATAACTATTTAATAGTCAGGCAAAATGGGGCGGAGAGGGACTGAGTGATTTTTGTAGCCAACGAGCCATTGGTAGCCAATGAGACAACGTTCACTGTTCCCAGCACTGCACCATCACCCCGGAACACAGCACTGCATCAGCGACAAATTCTTACCTGATTGGGTATTCTTAAAGGTGGCCTTGGACCTCCAGGGTACCGAGGGGACATGAAAGGCTACGAAAAAAAAAAAAAGAAATACTGCTAAATATTCAACTCAGCTTGTAAATACTGCATTGAGTCATTGGGCATATGGCTTGCACCATGCTCACACCTCAGGCATCCAGCTTAAATACTTCTACAGAGTGTTCAGTATATTATTGCGCAATGTTTAGCAGAACTGAATAAATTTAGTGATTCTTAGTGAATGCATCTACTAAAACACAATAGTTAAAACTTTGTGACAGATATTGTGAATGCAGGATATAAATCACTTAACGCATTAACTGTGAGTAATAATAATAAACCATTTAGATCGTATAATCACACATCTGTACTTTCCACTGGAGAAAGGAAAGACAGAAGCCTTGGAATATAAAAGAAAAATGTTCTGGGGAGGGTCAAGAGGCAAGTAACAGCAAAGCAATTTGCAAATACTTTCCATTCACTTTTTCATAATAAGGCAGTAAAATGCAATACAAGATGTTACCTGCGAGGGCACAGATTTGAAGTTTATGTCATAAATATTTAGAACTTCCATGGTTTAAATTAACTGTATTAATTCAATGTTACTCCTCCCATCACTGCAAACGTATCTCCACGCCCACTCAGTACATCTCCTCTCTCAAAACCAAATATACACCCAAATCTGTAGTACCCTCCTGCACCCTGTGATGTCCTAGTGGCTGTTGGCTACTACTCTACTACTTTGTAGCCCACAAACATGGTCAAGAAAGATAAACAAATGGTAGTAACAGCAAATAAATACATTTATCATCTCTACTTATTCCATCCCAAAGTGTGACAGTAATCTAGAAATATAAAAATCCAGGAGATCAGTGGCAAGTGTGAGATCTACGGGGAAAAGGCACAAACATGTGACTAAACAGATGATGAAGAGGACCGTTTTGGCAAGCAAATGTACCTGTAGCTCCAAAATAAAATGACAAGCTGAAAGTATGCTTTGACTGTGAATCCAAGGACAAAAAAGACCGATTCTTTGTACCATGAAAGAGGAGCTCACTTCTGCTTATGACACTGTCACTGGAGACACGAGAGAGATAGAGGAAAGGAGTCTGCTGTGAATTCCCGGGGCAATCTCTGATGACAAACGAGCTGCTGTGCGATTAAACCCACTCCTTGGGGTCTCTTCAAAAAGAAACAAATACACCTACACAGGAACTGTCTAGTCAGCTGTAGCTGAGGACCACTGGTGGGTCACTAAAAGTCCATGATCAACATCACTGTTTTACAAATGACTGGCACAATTCAGCTCCACCAGCAGCACTGCATTACAAACCAATGTGCCAGTGATCACCAGTGCTAGTAATGCACGTATTAACAGCAGCAATAGCTGGCTAAAGAATTATAATTATGTTACCAAAAATTATTAACAGGGTTTTTCCTGCGTCCCCCTGTACTGGGCACTGGTGAAGCCCCACCTCGAGTGCTGTGTTCAGTTTTGGCCCCTCACGACAAGAAGGACATTGAGGTGGTGGAGCGTGTCCAGAGAAGGGCCACGAAGCTAGTGAGGGGTCTGGAGCACAAGTCTTATGAGGAGCAACTGAGGGAACTGGGGTTGTCCAGCCTGGAGAAAAGGAGGCTGAGGGGAGACCTTATTGCTCTATAACTACCTGAAAGGAGGCTGCAGCAAGGTGGGGGTCAGTCTCTTCTCCCAAGTAACAAGTGATAGGACAGGAGGAAATGGCCTCAAGTTATGCCAGGAGAGGTTCAGGATGGAAGGGGTTGTTAAGCATTGGAACGGGCTGCCCAGGGACGTGGTGGAGTCGTCATCCCTGGAGGTATTTAAAAGATGGGCAGACATGGTGCTGAGGGACATGGCTTAGTGGTGGTTTTGGCAGGGTTATGTTGATGCTTGGACTTGATGATCTTAAAGGTCCCTTCCAACCTCGACAATTCCATAATTCTATCTTGCATTAAAAAAAATTAATGGAATCTTTCACATCTTAGAATCAGGTGAAAAGTGAAACAAAGTAACCTACATAAAAACATGTTCAAAACAGGTACTAGAAAGCAATTTAAAATACAGAGGGTTTACAATCTAGGGAAGAAAGTTCAATGACAATTGTGAAAAGATTAACAAAAAAGCCATTTGAAATTATGTGCTATAGAAGAGAGAGGCCTGAGGTCAGTAGCTGCTTCAGGTTTTTGAGAAAGTCTGGATCTAGGTTCGTCTCAGGTCTACTTAATAAAAGCCTTACAGAGGAAAGTCTAGGATTCTTCTCTGAAATTATAAGTAAGTCATGAGTTACATTTTTTTGAGGCATTGTTTCCTAAGCAGTCATCAAAGCAGACTTTAATGTGAGAGCCAGTGCATCTATTCTTAACTGACTTGTGAGTTCATTGCATGGAACAACTACAGGAGCCTCTTTGATACAACTCTGTCTTACAAAAAAGGTTTATGTACTGTACATATTTATCTATCTATGCATTCCCCTTAAACATATTTGTGGAAGTGTTTAAACCTTCTCCCATTCTTTAAGCAACTGAGCCCAAGTGGAACTGCAATGAATGACTTCATCCAGTAAATTTCAAATAGTTCTTATGGTTCTTGATGATCCATGGATACAAACACTGCATAGTTCTATAGGCAGGAAAATGTATGAACAACTGGGAAGCACAACTATATGTTTTGATGAATATAAGTACCAATAAATGTCCATATAGCATTGCAGAAAATGGTGAGATAGTGATGTTCCAGGACAATTCTAAAAGATTTACACTGTTTTGGACCAGCATTTAGTACTTAAGTTTACCACAAAAAATTTACAACCAAAGGAAAAACTTAAATATTTTAACTTCTGTGTCAGTTACTAAACTTCTCCAATGTCACGTCTGTTTAGTTTTAGTTTTCTTGTACCCAATACTGGTAGAGTAAGACAAATATTCAAGAAAACTGTTTTTCTTTAAATTGACTTCCCTTCCAAAAGCTGGGAATATAATTTAACTGCTTCCAAATATGCAAGGGTGGTTTTTTTTGCATTGACATTTTTATCCTTTTTTTACTCATATCGTTACATTTATTGACCACATTTTGTCCCACATAAATTGCAAAATTTACTATAATCCACAGTCATATAACTAATCCTGAATATTGCTTACATTTCAATTCCTATTGAGACTGAATTCCTAATGAGATTAAATTTACTGTAAATACCCATATCTATTCCAATACATACATATTACGTGATACCCTATGAATTGTTATACTGGATAGCACAACCTCATGTAACAAACGCACACCAGGAAAACAAATAAATGCAGTTCAAAATGAATTACTGCAGTTATTGGGTATGAGTAATGGAGAGGTTGCACACATCTGCTAGCCATAAAAATACCAAGAGCCAGAACGCCAGTGAACAAACCTTGGGCTGGGAATAAAATGGAATGAATATTGCTTCAACAGGAGAACCCTGTCTACAAGGCATGAAGAAACCCACCTTTCTCAGTCAGGGTAGCTTAAAAGAACAACGCTCATCCAGATTTACATTAACGACTTCCCAGCCAGGTGTACTACAAGGTTTTTTCAGCTCGGAAAAAAACGTGTTGGTCAAAGCAGGACAGAAGGTACGTTTTTAAAGCACACCACCAATCTGGTTTAGATGACTACATTTAAGGCGGTCGCAGAATGCAGAGCAATAGCTCACTGAGTCTCATCCAGCCAAAATACACCCTCCCATGCTGATCTGCTTGCAGCGGCGTGTCTTGCTAACCACCATGCATGGAAGCCCCAGGAGGGATGTGCTCCATGCACTGAGTGCTCAAGCCATTGAAGATGTCCCCTGCCCAGCTGGGCCCTCCTGTTGTGCCCAAGACGAGCATTCCTACAGGACATCTCACAAAAGGGAAAGACAAGGTGTTTTACGTATCTTGGGTACTTCACCACAGCGTCAGCCAAGGCTGAGCAGCCACCAGCAGGTGGGCTCCCCTGGACAACCCTGCCCACCAGGGACCTCTGTCCCAGCCTGGGGCAGCACCACCCCGCTGTGGGGGCAGTGATGGACAGTGGGGAGAGAGGATCTGCCTCTATCAACAGCTCCATCCAGAGCTGGGAGAGGATGCCCATGCCGTGCTTTTACTGCGTTTCACATGGCTTAGGAAAGCAGAAGAACGGGTTCTGCTTGCACCAGACACTGCTCTGCAGGGCCTCCTAAAAACACCTCGAAATTCATGGTTTTAGAAGCAAACAAAACCAAGTGACAATTGTTTTTTCAGCATCCTTTTCTTTTTTTTTTTTTTTTTTAATCTGCATTACCAAATTTAGAACAATCTCCTTAGATAGGACTTCTCAACACCCTGAGAGGTGGATGATGCTCCTAACTGGAGAACACCTCTTAGGGGAGTAACAAAAGCACACCACAAATTAAAAGATACAAGGTGAAACAGTTTTAGCACTCAATATAGAAAAGGACTGAAATGGTATTAATTGGCTCATATAATTCAGTCACCATAATCAGCACAAATTCTAAACACTACTTATCACTAGAAGCTACAAATGGAACCACAGACTTAATCTGTACACACTATGACAAATTATTTTAAATTAATTGTGCTACTACTTGAAAAGCAGGTACTGTAAGAGGGTCCAAGCTGCCAGCATCAAGATCATAAGCTAAACGGGAATTCTCATAATGACCAACTCTCTTAATTTATTCATTTAACGTTCTAAATGATAAAAACTCTTCATTCTTCTCCCCTCAATTAAAAAATGAATTCAATTGCCAAGTTACATATTCTGTCTCTGAAAATACAATTCTTATTCATCTTTTTGGGGGCTTCAAACTCTATTCCTGGTTAAAAGGATTTACATCATTTAACTATTTATAGTCCGAATGGTAAGAAATAAGACTGCTTGATACTTTTATTTCATTTTCTTATTATGGCAGCAGTATTGAAAAATGACTAGGATGTAACATTTTAATATATCTCCGTAAGACTCCTATATTTTATAAAATGGTTTAGAGGTGCTTTACACCTACCACCGTTCCCATACTCAA